TGTATGTATACATATATATGCATGTATATAGATATATATATAGATGTATGTATACATATATATGCATGCAAATCTACTAGGAGTGAATCTTTATATTTCCCTCTTTCTCTTTTTTTTTTTTTTCAGAGCTGAGGACCGAACCCAGGGCCTTACGGTTGCTAGGCAAGTACTCTATCACTGAGCTAAATCCCCAACCCCAATATTTCCCTCTTATTAACAGTAGCAACCTTTCTTTTGAATCCTATATGTTCCTTGTAAAATAGAAATAATAATACATTGAAGAACTGTGAGAATTTAAGTAAAAACACTTATGGAACAATGTACGGTCCAATAGAAGGTGCTTAACAAATGATATCTGCTGTTATCACCATCCTCATTTTAATGGGAAAAAATTCAATACAGGAGTCTCCCTTTTAACCAACTAGAATTTAGACTTAGCTTAAAATCCATATACAGTGATTACATACTTTCTACTCAGTGTACTTTGTCCCACTGTAGGACAACTTGTTTGTAAACAAATATCTTTTCCATTGTTTTCCTTTATGTCTTTTAGTGCTTCATTAGGAGATTGGAAAACATCTACCCTGATTGTTCTGGGTCAAACTAAATGCACTCAGCTGTGGTGTGTGTGACCCAAATTTGCTGCCTTGGCTGTTGTGGGTCTATGCTCAGTATAAACCATGGACTGGGAATCAGACTCCATGGGTCCTGTTCACTACATTTCCTTCAACTCAGTTTATGCCACAAATATACATGGTTTTTATTCTTTCAAATCCACTCACCCACATCTAGGATCCTTAGCTTGATCATCTTAGAGTTCCTTTCCTGCTCTGTAGGGCTCTGTCTCTATGCTTTATGACATGATGTCCTGTAGAGACTGGACTAAGTAAAGGTTATCACTATCATTTAACTAGATTGGCTCTGAATTTAACAAAACCAAGCATCACTTTCAGATCCCATAGTCCTTTCTTTCAAAGAAAGCCCAAGCTTTGCACCTGCTAGCTCTTCATAGGGCCACTCTCTCATCCTCCGCTCACGCCTCTCATCGTTCTTCTACCACTTCTACGTTCTTAGTTCGACACATTGCCTCTACAAAACATTTTGTGATACTGCTAAGTTTCCATGACCACTCTCACCTGCATTTCTATTTGAACTTGTTCTGTTGACCTTATCACTAATCCAACTCTTACTATGATATTAGAGTCAATGCCTTCAGTAAAATAAAAGCTCAAAAGCCACAAAGAAAGGCAGGGGGCTGGGGAAGAATCGCCAAGCCTTTTACCTGTGCAACAGATGAAAGGCTTTCAGTGTGTCTGCACCAGAGCACAGAAAATCTTGGGCTTCCTCTTCCATTTTTGAGAATCCAAGTGTGTGTATTTAGAGGGCAGGGGGAGGGGGAGTCAAAGCCATTTATTGCTAAAGTTTTGTTCATTTCTTATACCAGATTTCTTGGTGTTGGTCTTTGCAATGTCCACCTCATGCAAACTTCCCTTAAGTGTTTAGTGAGGGATATTTTTTGTTCTTTTTAGTAATTTCTGAAACATTATAGTGCATACGTTGAGGCAGTCTTCACGGTACCTCCTGTTTCCATGGTCTGGATAATATGTAACTTGCTTCCCTTTATTTTCCAGCCCCACTTCGCTCTTTCCAAGGACTCAGCCTAATGGCAAACTATAATTGCTGTTCAGGGATGCCGCTAATTACAATACAAATCAGACTGCACTTTTTTTTTCAGGAAATTCCTCTGCTTTGAAGTGAATTTTCCACAGCTAGTTGCATATATAAATGTCTCTTAAAGGTTCAGCAATGCCTTTTCTAAAGTTTTTTCCCCTACCCCAAACTCACATGACTCCAGGAGACAGAAATGAGAAGGTGCAGCATCTTGGAAAGTCATCACAGCATCAGAGAGCATTTCTTACCTCCACCCATCTTCAGTATGGAAAGAAGGGCTCTGAGGTTGTTATAGGAAGGCATGGATCTCACAGGCCCAAGGGAGTTTGATGAGTTGCACTTAGTATAAAGCTTAATGCTATCTAGGGAGCTTCTGTGTTTTCTTGGAAACTAAGCAGCAAGGTTTCAATTCGCATTGATCAGGTCAGAATGCAGAGGGAAATCCAGGCGCAGAGAAGGTGTACTCTATCCCCGCAGGACCCTGGGACACATTTTCACGTCTTTCTGCTTTGTGACTATCTCTTGCTCATTCTGATGTTTTCTCCTTATTAGGATTCTTACTATAAAGAATTTACTGAACATATCCCCAGACTGGACTTTGACACATAGTTCAGTGTTATTTTCCTTGTGAGATGCTTCTCCACTTGTTTATTTTTATATTATCATGAAAGATGCAGCAAGGTGGTGATGCAACTCAATGGGAAATTGTACTCGTACGTAAAACCTAGGTGATGTGACTTGTTAATGGCAGTGTTTTCAACATACAGGATTATCGTAGGAACTGAGAAGGGCAGAGACTTATTCATTGAATATTACTAAACCTGCATCTATCTCCTCACACCTCTTTCTAGGAACCTATCTACAGTGTTTACCTCAGTAAACTGTATTGTCTAAGATCTCCTTAAAAATGTAACCCAATTTTTTGCAGGAGTCAATCACTCTTACCACCAACATTCTGACCTACAAACAATGCATTTGAAAGAGGCTTATCATGAATGCATTTACTGCTTTGTATCCCAAACCTTCCTCAAAACATGAACAAGTATCTTGAACTCCAAATCCCAGAGAAACAGCTCCTACCGAACGAAGATCCTGACAATACACAAAGAGACTCCCTACGATTGTGATTGTGGAATTATAGTCTCTTTCCTGATGTCCTGCAGTTGGCCTCCTCATTACCTGTTACTTATTTCCCCAATCATAAGTAGCTTGTCCTGAATATTGACCACACCTACACTAGATCTGAGGTCTGGTCATCTGCAAATGCTTGATCTTAGCCCCTCAGAGATTCTCTAAGCCAGTTCTGTACACATTTTATTGCACCTCAACACTATGTGTGGCTTTTGTTAAAACACAAATTGTTACTCTACACCTCAAGACTTACCAATTCAGTAAATGATAAGCAAGGCCTCAATTGTTTTTTACATCTGACAAGTTTCTAATTAATTATGGTTCTTTAAGTGCTGTGCATGTAAAGAACCCTAAGGAAATGAACACTTAAGGCAGAAAACATTGATGGGGTTTTCCTCCACTTATTGCCATCTGGTTTGTACCACAGGGGAGTTCTGCAGACCAGTCTAGCAATCATCTTTAGTGATTTGTCTTAAAAAACTAAAGCAGAACAGACTTGTGGAAACTCATTTCCT